TAATGCTTGTTTTATAATCAAATATATTAAGTGCTCTGTAATAAAACTGTTGATGGATGCACGCACAATTCATAAATTTCATTACGATAAAGGGAAATACTCAATTACAATTGCAACAAACTTGACCTGGGGAATACATCAAATTATTACTCTTATGCATTGTCTTTAATTAGTGGAAGACATTAGATAAGGTTGAGGCCGCTGACTAGCAAGTCATTAGATAAAACTTTGTTTGCAGCTTCTGTTGGGTGGAATCCATCCCAAAACACATACTCTGATGCATTTGCACATGTTCCTGGAGACTTGGCATTGCACAGAAAAGATGTCTCTATCAGCCCCGAACCACAACATGCCTTTCTTGCTTCAAAAAATCCTGCAAAATAATTGATTTCAGTATATGTATAATCTTGCCTCAATTCAACCTTTGGCCTCACTCTTTCCACTCTTGAATGAATAACAAACGAGAGAAAAATAATTTAATCAGGATTAGTAGTTTTCTGCATTCAATTAGAGAATGAGGAAGTTGACAAGTACCATTATCTATAGGTTTGGTGACAAGGTCTAAAAGTGGCTGATAGATATCCAAGACAAGAAGATTGAGATTGGGGAGCTTTTGTTTTAAGCTTTGCGATGTCATGTTAAGCTTATTGTTGAATGAAACAGCTGCTGCATTCATCTTCTCAACGCATTTGTTGGTATCCTCGCTAAACAGAGTTATGGATGCTGGAAGACATCCAATTGGTGGCAATGTTGTGACTCCAATCTTTCTTGCTCCCAACTTGTACAGTGCCTATTGCAGAATTTGCAAGAATTTAACTTTAGAGCAGATGGATTATATAAAATTCACCTAACTTATGTGCTGCATCAAGATTATTACTCCTGGAATTGCAGTTGCAGATATGCAATCAGAGAGCAATAGTGTTCGTGGAGAAAACATTACCTGTACAAAATTTACATAGGATTGGATGAGGATGTCTGAGAACTGATCAGGTGTGTATTTCTTGTAGAGCAGAGGATTGATGTAGTAGTTCTGAACAAAGTCACTGCTTCCATCACTCAGAAAGTGGATTGAACCATTTATGGTGGCTGAAGCATTGACTTTCCCCAGAATCACAACTAGCCTATTCTGGTAGTCCTTGTAAAGTGCCAGCTGCTTGCTTAGTGAAAGGGTATTCTAAACCATATAAAATATACAGTTAATATTATCATCTGATCAGCATTACACTTGTATATAGAATGTCTGTACATAGTAAAAGACTTTGTACTTACATATATTTTTGCTGTAGCTTCATAATAACCAGAACCTGCTGAAGCAAAGTTGGCCCCAAGCAACATGTTTTTCGTTGTTTTCGCCTTATTGCTCAGATAAGGCTTTGGATAATCAGTGAAGCCTAGATTCTCACCTGCATTAGCTAAAATTCGTTAGATACCTGTAAAAATCATACATTTGCATTGAGAAAACAAAGGGAGGAGAAAATGATAGGAGGGTTGAGATTGAAGAGAAGTACCAGTAAAATCTGTGGCAAGCTTCCCATTGCAGAACCTCCCAGTTGCTTCATGGTTAATGAAGTCTCTTCCATAAGGGGGGAAGTTGGCTTTGATTAGAGTCTCTAAATAGTTATTGTTTCCCACATCAACAATAGAATCCCCAAACAAGTATAGTGCAGGAACTAGAGGCTGTCCATTGACAACATTGAGGCCCAAAACTAGTAGGAAGCATGTCAATAGAAAAACTGAAGCGGCCATTGTTTTCAAGCAGTTAATCAGTGATGTAACTCAGAAAAAGAGAGGAATGATGATTGCAATGCAGCAATTGGATGATGCATTTATATAATTCCATTGATGTAGTATTCATTAGCCCAATTGGTTGAAAGGCCTACATCTCAAGAGATTCGATTTGCAATTTTAAAACTCAACCCTCTTAACGTGGTAGATTATGGGAAGTAGAGTACTCTTCTGGTAGAGTATCTAGATAAGAACAGCATTCAAACAGTTGAATGTTATGCCATATGTATGTTCACCAACTTGGTTAATTACAGCTACAAGTTTCAGAGCGCATCAAAAAAGAAATAGAAAATTCCAGTTGGTCAATTAATATATTTGTGGGGGGGGGGGGGGGGGGTGAAGAGGTCTAGGTAAACTTGGTGTGGTTAATACTGTCTTCGGGGAAACATATTTAACATGTTCATTCCATAGTGGAAGCTATTCTCTTGGTGTAATAGCTGCTAAGACAGATTTTCGTTTTCTGAACATTTGATGCTAGAATAGCCAATTTTTGAAAAAATGATAAATGAATTGACTATAGTTTATGGTTGTCCTCCAGATTAGCCTAAATTTTGGACTCCAATTAACATTCGCTAGTTATCTGATCTAGTATTTTGCAACTCCTTTCTAGATGCAAGTAAGGTTGTCAGTGAATAGTTCTGACATCCATGAGCTTAGTTGTCGTTTAATTTAACTAGAGCAACATTTAGCTGGCAATAGTTCAAATTAAGTTTATTTGGCGTGTCTTGCTAGAAGTGTTATTTGAGCTGTATTGGTTTCTAATGCACCTTTACTTATGCATAGATTGTCCAAAGCCACAAGATTTCTCAACTTGAATTGATCAACAAAAAGGCAATGGCACAACAAAGATCAGATACAATGGCTCAAAGTCGGTTGATTTTTTCAACTATTCAACTTTCTTGTATGTGTCTTAAATTCTTACTACCACCAAATGAGTCTTTACAAACATCAGTAGCCTTGCAATCAACATCTAAAATCGAAAGCTTCATGAATAAAGTCACGGCAGTTTAGCAAGGGTAACATTCAGTGGAAAGCTGTTTTTTTTTAAAAAAAAAAAATCTTTTCACCTATGAAGATGTAAATTTTAAAAGGAAAATGTATAATAAAGAAGATCCAACAGAGAAAAGTTATATTAGGGAGATGATTAAAATTGGGGCTACTTTTTCTTTTCTTGAAATTTTCTCGCAAATGATTTTGTTAGCATTGCAGATTAGTGCTTTAAGGCTCTATGTATATTAAACTTCATGCTGCTGTAAAGCATGAAATGGATGAAGCAGAAGAAATATCATTATCTGCTTGTAAGAAGTATTGGTGAAAAGAAAAGGGAAAGTTAATTAAATTGCCTCCTGTCGGGCGGTGGAAATTGTGATAAACTATTATGAGCTTGATAAACACGCCTCTCAATTGCTGCCCGTGGAGACACACACTTTGCAAATAAATCATTCACTTAGCATAACTTTCGAAAATTAATTAGCAGCACAATCACGAATATTCCTTTAATGGTGATTATCATATTCGGGCAATATCAAATTACGTTTTTATTTTTTTTTATTTTTTGCAATACGAAGAGATGTAGAGTAATACCAAGTAATTTTTTATGTTCGTAAATTCGAAATATTGAAAAATAAACATAGCTAAAAAGTTGTAAAAGAAAACGTTACTCTGAATGCTTGCTTGCTAATTTGCCGTATGGATTGCAAAATTCTTTTGTTCGCATGCAATTCTGACTCAAACTTTTATATGGCAGGGGAAAAGAAACGTCAAAAAGAAAAAGAAAATAAAGTTGCACTTTAGTCCTTACTCTATCAAAAGTTTAGAATTCATACCCCAGCCATGGAAACTTTGCGAACAGATTGGTGAAAGATGGCCCAAACGCTACACTCCTATTTTCTGTTGTGAAACTATACAAATTGATTTCTTGCCATAAATCAATGGATACCCATACTTGAATCTGGTTATCACTGATGAAACAAGTAAAGTTTGTCTTGTTGATCCAATTATCCTAATCATCTATTGAAATTGAAGAACATTAGAGGCACTTGCATAAGAGGAAATCAAATCTGTCATCAGACTTGCCTTGTTCAAATTGTCCTGATAAATGAATTTTTTTAAAAAAAGTGTACATTCAATTATATAACTGAAAGTCACAATTTTGATATTTCATCAGTGTTGTTTGTGCATTTACTTGGATGTTAGAAGACCCCATGGCCTGGAATTTTTTTTTCTTAATAGACGCTTTTCTTTTAGACTAAAAGTGCTTACTATTGAGCATAGACAAAAAAGTAGCTGTTAAGTGCTTAAACACGTAAGCCTTCTGATAATCATCGCCATAATGCTTTTAATGATAAATGATGGAGAACCCATCAAAACCGATGGGTGATAATCATTGGCATAATGCTTTAAGTCATAATCAATTCTATGTGCACAAGCACAAAATTGTGGATTATCTTAGTATAGGATTAAAAATCAATGATTGTTTATCACATATGTACTAATATACTAGCATCGTTATCTTATCTAAAGAAAGAAACAAGCAAATTCAAAAGTATTTTGTTGTTAATTTGATACAATTAGATTAGCCATCACTTAATTAAAGTGGAAGCATTTTTCTGAATACTTGATGGTAAAGCAGGAGTAAAGAGATTGGTCCCAAAGAGAAAATGTTATTACAGAAAATCCTTTCGGATGGTGAAAATTGTTGTAAACTATTATGAGCGTGAAAGTTAAACCTCCCACCGCTGCACGGGAAGATTTTTTCTTGCATTTTAATTATTTTTTGACTTTTTATTAAGGATTAATTTTATATATGTGATAGCGTATACATTATCATCATTGTATACTTGACAATTAATCTAAATTTTAAATTAAAATTAAAATTTTATATTGTTATCAAGCATCCAATCATAATAATGTATACATTGTCAGTATATGTGTGATTAATTCTTTTTTTAACCCTTTCACCCGTATCCACACCCTTCCTACCCCCAATTTGTGAAGTTAAGGATCCGAACCCTGAACTTGAAATCTAGGTAATTAGTTACTTACTAAACTTTTAAGAAATAACTGGAGGCAATTCATGGATTGTTCTTTCTGTGACGCCCTCATTTCTTCCTAAGGCGAACCAAAGGGTATCCGCGGGACGCCAGTCTAGCTCTCGCCAGGACTCAAGGCAACGATTCACGCTTAACGATACATAACGATTAATACAAGCCAAATAAAGGAAAAGTCGCTTCCATAATCGAATATCCAAATCTTACACCACGAGTTCAAGATACATCAGTTATCCAATTCTTACACTAGGTTCCCAAAAGATACATCAATTTTCAAAATATACAACATCCACAATGTCTAATCAATTACATTTAAAACCCTAATATAAAAGTACATCCAAAGGGTTTCTCCGAGTTTCGCTCCATGTCCATACCTGTTAAGGAAAACAAATCTACGGGGTGAGCAATTGCTCGTGAGGCCAAGAACACACATGCATGCACGTTGTCCAAGTAACAATCCAATTAACGAGCAGAACAATAATATTCAAGTAAATGACAATTCAAGCGAGAACAGTAAACAGAAACAATTCAAGGATATAGGAGCTCTCAGGAGCTATTGTCCACTTGCATGATCAAGAACCTCCACGAGTTGACACTCCGTCAATCGGATAGGTTATAGTCCGTAGAACTTCACTTATCCTGTCCCCTTTCACCGTTACATACCCCTGTACCGGGTCCGCCTTTCATTTGTTTGAGGCGATACTGCTCGAGTATGCCAAGCAAGACCTCTCAATAGGTCAAGCTTTTGTTTTCTCATGGTTCACCAAGGAGCCGGACCAAGCTCATGCCGGCTCGAGTCCAAGGTTGGCTAGTGAGAATTGGGCATCCCCCACGCTTATCATTAAGAGTCGAGGAGATTCACTCCAATCGACTTATGCAGCCATAGCATAAATAGTCACTTAAACACTTCACTTAATTCACTTAACAAGTCACTTCAAGCAATTCAAACATTTCATGTCAAGTAATTCAAGTACACTTTGTTTAAATGAGAACGAGTGCGATAAAGTACACACTCGACTCGGCATTTTCAAAATCTCCAATCACTAATAGCAATTAAGCACGTATTAAGTTCACATACACTTGACACTCACCAAGTAATTCAAGAAGTAAAGCACACTTGAGGATTCAGCCATCCACCGTGGGATCCTCTTGAAAGTCCTCTTGAGTGCCTGAGCAATTGATAATGAACTACCACTTAGAACTCCAATTATCACGGAAGATTGCACACTTGTACAATCTAGAAAAATATCATGAAGATGAGCCTTAATTACTCGTAAGTCGAGACTCAAAAGTGGAATTTTAAAACACAAAAGAAATCTGATTTCCATCTTTGAAATCAAGTGCAAAATGATCAAGCAATATCGAAGGAAAAATGTGAGTTCTAAAAACTCAATTTCCTTTAAGTTTGAAAATTTTAGATTTGACAAGCAAATTTTGGAAAATCGTATCTCACTCTTTGTAGATCCAAAATTGGAAAACTTGGTACCATTGGAAACTACTTCCAAAGTACTAAAAGTTACTAGAAGACATTTTTCCATGATTCCAAATGGATGACATTCAAAATCCGGCTCAAAGTTGTTGTTTTGGGCTACCAAGACAGTTTCGGGGTTGGTTTTTGGCCAACTTTGGAAATTCGGCAAAATTCACAGAATATGAACTAGTCTCTCAAATTTGAAAATCATCTAGAGTTACAATCAAAGTTTAAAACACAACAAACAGAACAAGAATCGGAGTTTTGAGCGCCAAGATATAGCAGCTCAAAGTTGGTTCAAAATGAGGACCATTGAGCAATTTTCCAGGTTTGAAACATGAACTTTGAGACTTTGGTTGGGCGTCGAAATGAACTCAGAATGGTACTAACTTTAGTAGTATTACCCTACCATATAAGGGTTATTCCTCTGTCGAATTTCATGTAAAAATTCGTACAGGAAGTCAGTCAACAAAGCCACTAAAATTCCAAGAATTTTCAAGGCAAATCTGCCTTGTACTTCAATTTTCCTTTTCCTAACTTTTGGGTCAATGAAATCATCTTAAGCATGGTTCATTTATGAAGAAAAGGTCTAGGAAATATCCAAAATGTGTTTGGTAGGTGATTAACACCAAGAGTTTCAAAATACCAAGTCCCGAACAAGATCGGCCATTGATCAGTCCAAAAATGAGGGTTTTCAAGCAATGATGCAGGTCTGCAGTTTGGCCATAATTCACTCAATTCAACTTGGAATTGAGTGTGGTTGGTGGCGTTGGAAAATAAATTCACAAGGTTACAATTTCTCAGAAGAAATCATTTTAAAATTCTGTCCACAACTAATTCATATTCGAGCATCAAGTCGCAGCTCATAACAGATTTTCCAACACAGAGGAGAAACAGGACAGGTGACTTTGAATGGCTGGTACGGTTCACTCAAGTGGAATCAGGGGATACATTTTATACCGTTAGAAAACTGGAAGTGTCTAGTTTCTAATGCTGCAAATGGCACTCAATTTTGACGTCGGAGCAAAGAGTTATGGTCATTTCAAAATCACTGCCAGAACAACTCTGGACACGTTTTCCAGTTGTAAAGAAATTTCAAAATCTCAACTTTTGGCCAACCAAATCAAGTGATTTTTGGTGGAAACTTTCCACACAACCTATACAATATATCTACATTAAAAAAAATTCAATTGGACCACAAAAATTTGCACCAACAGGTGCGGCAAAGCAGGGGCAGAACCGGCACTTTTCTTCCTTTTGTTTCCTTTGAGTTTTCTTTCCACTTTTCAACTTATAATCACTAGTTTAACCACTAATTCAACATAAACAACAACCAATATCATCACATCAGTTCAGCAAGTCCATTGTGGGATTTCATAGAACCCACTCACAAGATCTACAACAATCCAAAACTACCCACATGAAGCTACAAGCTTCTAAGTGCAATATAACTTACAAAAACTAAGATTCAAAGGTTTGATCGTCATTACCTCCTAGATGTTGCTAGAGCAGAAATTTTTGGTCCTTTGAAGCTCAAGAAAACCGTGAGGTTGAAGTTTCTTTCCTAACTTAAGTTGATCTCCAAGTTATTTGCAAGGTGTAGTGTGAATTTGAGGTGATTTGGTGCAAGAAAATGAGGTGAAATGAAGGAAAATTTTTGGTCTTCTTCTCCAAGGTGATGCACGGCTGTTTGAATGAGAAAGAGAGAGTTGTTGCAGCTGCAAAAGCTTCTTGAGGAAGCTTAAGAATGTGTGGCCAACAATGCTCAAAAAGTCAACTAGGAATAGTGCGCGTACGCGGGCGTTTCATGCTCGTTTCCTCTCAGCTTTGTTTCATTTGTGCACTAAACCTCTAATGCACTTCCATTGATACTATTATTATTCACTCTTAATAGTCTAAAAATAAAGGTCTAAAGTCCCTCGATTAATCGCGCGCGCGAAAATGCGTACTTTCGATTTATGCGCGATAGAACGAAATTTCTAAGGAATTCTTGTAACGATAGTATTTCTAACTAATACTTGAGTACTTAAACATAAAAATACATATTTTAAAACTAATGTATGAGTCCTCAATCTCCAAGCTCACTGTACCCTCAAATCGATTATTACCTCCAAACGCGTGTTCACTATTCTCACTAGCCGAGCTTCCAAAAATTAAATTTTGTAACAAGTCATTTTAAAAATATATACAAGTCATAGTTCCATGTAATTGGGTCTAAAAAGGTTAGAATAAAATATTCGGAGCAAACGGGCAATTAAATATTTAAATAAGCTAGTAATAAGAGTTTAAAATAAGTAAATTTGCAAGTCCTCACACGAGTCTAGTATTAGTTTCTCAAGTCTCCAATTTGTCGTGCGGTACGACTTTCGAGAAATTATCGACGTACGCATAATAAAAACTTTATTTAATTTAATCACATCTAATCTCTCAATTAACTCTTCTTAGTCCCCTATTGATCATCCTTAATTCTCCAAAATCATTGTACTCTCAGATCGACTATCATCTCGAAGGTGTGTATTTGTTATTCCTTAATAAACGAGCCTTCGAAAAATTTAAATTTGTTAGCGAGACGTTTTAAAAGTATAAATAAGACATGGTTCCATAAAAATGAATTTAAAAGGGTTGAAATAAATTGTTCGGAGAAAACAAGTGAATAAACATTTAGAAAAGCCAGTAATATGAGATAAAATAAGAAAATTTTCGGGTTCTCACACTTTCACGCCCATGAATATATTTTGACGTTATCAAATTGTGATCGCGCAATTTTGAATTACGCAGAAAATTAGACTAATAGAAAGGTAACAAAGCAAGTCGTTTGAAATCTAAAGTAGGTAACAAACCAAGGTTTTGTTTGTAAGTCTGAAGCATCGGAAATTAAATAGAGCAAAAAGGTCATTTAAAAAATTTGTACCCTTTTTTTTTATTAAAGTAAATTTCATTTACGAAATTGTTAAAAATTATCCAGCACAATTTGATTTAGATTAGAAAAATCTACAGTAATTATAAGTTAAACATGCACTAGAAATAACATATCTATACTAGGAAAAAAGTTACTATTGATAATACGTGATTACCAAGTTGCAGCTAGCACTTGTGTAGTTATATGGATTGCAAACTTTTCTTCTTTGAATACAATACACATAATTGATTTTCAAAACCATAACTTCCAGATTCCCAACTAATCAGTCTAATTTATTCATATACAAGTGCAAAAGAAAAGTCAAAAAAGAAAAAGTGGGAGAAAGAAACAAAAATAGATAGACATACAGCCTGAGACACGGACACTGGAAACAGATGTGAAAATATGCAAATTACAGAAAATAAATTTGTACTTTTGTCCTTACATTCTCAAAAATTTTATGACTCTTAACCCTAGAAATTTTGCGAACTCTTGTAAAAGGTCCATGGATCAAAATTCCATTTTTGGGATAATAAACAAATTGCTTTCTTCCATTAAATGGCTGGAGGCATTACTGCATTTTGGTTCTCAGTTCTCAGACTCGTTAATTAAGAAGGAAAAGTTCGTCTTGTTGGTTGTAAGCATCCTATGAAATTGAACGATACTTAGGGATGGCAACGGGTGGGTGGCTGCCAGTAGGGTGAGGGCGGGTCTAGGGGGAGTTTTTCTCACCCGGACTTTTAAACAAGGGTCTGTTCCCCGTCCTGGCCCGTGCTTAATTTTTTAATATTATATATATAAATATATAATATATAATTAGATATAATTGTATACATATAATATAAAATTGATAATGTGATATTTTCTTATGACAAATAATGTAATCCTTCTTGTTAATTTTTTGTGGTTATAAAATGATAAACATATTATGTTAGTTTACCTTTTTTTTTGGTTATGGTATATAGTTTTAAAAAAATAACAATAATTGTTTTAGATTTTATGTAATATCAAATATAGAGAAACAGATTCACAATATCAAAATAACTTTTAAACTTTGTTTCATATTAAGTTTTTTCTTTTGCAAAAGATACAAAGGAATGATTAGTATACAACAATAAAGTTAAATATAAAATAAAAATAGTAACTAGATGAGATAGGGGTAAGGGCAACGAGGGACAGGACAGGGGATGAGGGGAGCTTTTGGATGACTGGTTAGGAGCAAGGAATCCCATCTCACTCCTGTTTCATTGTCATTCCTAAGAATATTGAAGGTATTTGCGAGTTGTCATGATTAATCAAAACATAATAGAATTTGTAAGTCAACTATATTCATTAGGAGTTAATACCACGGTACCTGAATTCGTTCAGTGTGACATAAAATTAAAGACCCCTTGACCTGGAGCACTTTTCCCAAAAGATGCTTTCTTTCTGTCTTCAAGTGCTTACCAAATTAGCAATGCCATTCGGAAGCGGACAACTCCAAAATATAAACCGTCTCATTATAATGGTTCCCAAAAAAAAAAAAAAAACCGATGGCTAAGATTTTGTTAATCATCTTTTGTGGCCATATGGTTCCAATTATTCCTACACATATAAAAAGGAGTCTATGGTTTACTGTTGATAAGTTTTCATCCACCTCTTATAGAGTTAATTTAGTAGTTTAAGTCACTATCATAAAATAGCTAAAGTAAATTGTACATGAATGTAATGCACGTATATATAAAAGAAAATGGCACTTTTAACCTTTATGTGCTCATCCAACATATAATGCACGTGTAGATGAATTATTAAATGTTAGTATTGGGGTGGATTTACCTATTTATCCTCAAATGTGGTTTTTAAGTTTTGCATTTGTCTAAATTAAACGGTTTTTGCGGAAATTCATACTAAGTAATCATTTAGAATACTTAAGATTACATTTACTATCTATGAGAAAAGTAATTTAATTGTAGTCCGTTACAATCATAACTCTTGCTTACTTAAAATTCTTGCTTTTACTTCCGTTTCACTGGAATGCAGCCTTCTTTATTAATTTCTTTCTTTTCCCCTTTTAAGTCAAATAAATTGATCTAATAGCCAATGTCTTCTTTATCTTCTTTCCTTTTGCTTCTACGATCTTTTGCTTACCCTTTCTAAGTTTGTGTTGCTATCTATTTCTTTTTTCTTTTTACAGGATTTGTAGGTATTTTAAGCTAGAATTTTTGGAGAAACAAATTTCATCTTGTTATTAAGGTAATGAAATTAGTTATTTTAAATTATCCTTTGCTTGAAAGCAAATTTGTTTGTTCTTTTATTCAAAATTTTTGGTGCAAAATTTCTTCTTTTCTATCCATTTTCAAAATTCATGTTGTTTTGTTAGTTTAATTTGTGAAATTTCGTTTAATTATATGCTAATGAATAATTCGAGTCTTCATATGACTTAGACCCTATTTGATAACCCTATTCAATACTTAAATTTAATAAATTTTGATCTTAACATGTTCAAACGCGTTTGACCACAAAAAATTGAACATCTGAATTAATTAAGTAACACTAAATTTTGTAGGCAAAACTTGCCCTAAAAAATAAGTGATAAGCTATTCACCTATCACTGAATATGATATATACTCAAATATATTAGATTTAATACTTAACAATTCAATAATTTAATGGATTTAGACTTCAAATTTTAGATTTCAGACTTCAATTCACTTTTATCAAACACATTCTTAGTCTCTTAGTTTTTTCTAAATTGGTAAAATTACTTTTCTGCATGTTGTTAACTAAGAGTTTTCCTCAGATAGGTTGAAGTGTTGCTTTGAATTCTTTGATTACCATTCTTCTAATTAAGGTACATATCCTTAGAATTGTTTCAATGATTAAATTTATTTGCTTACAACTTCTTTTTAATACGTGGTTTTGTATTTCGGATTAAGTTTCTCAATATGTTAGATTTCTTATTTTTAAAATTACTTGGTTTAGATGACATGTTAATTGTGTATGTCAATCAATGGTCTAACTAAATGATCTACAATGCGCTATAATTGTATATATCTTTGGATGAATGTTTTTCATGCTTGCTTTTGTGTGTATACCTTTCTGCTTATACATGGGTTGATAATTGTATCTTAATTAGCTATTGAAACCAAATAAAAGAAGAGAACAATAGCTAAGACCCAAATGAACCTAACATCATCCCACTGCTTCCTTCATATTCATATACTTTCACTTTTGTTTGTTTTACGCATTATTAAGAGAGTTTAGATGGATGTGGCTAATTATGTTTGGCTTAAAGTGTACAAGGAAGATTTCAGCAAATTGTTCATGCAGGCAAACCCTCTTCATAAGTTTCTATGGACGGTATGAACACCACTATTTACTTATTATTATGTTCTAAACTTGAAGGGCTAATTGTTTATTCAGTTTTTATGACATTAATATTTGATGATCCAATTATTCAAGTTGCTAAAGAGGATGGTGAGAAGTGAAAGTCTGAAATTGAAGAATATTGAGTACAATTTCGATATACTTGAGTTTATTATCTATTATAGGAAAATAGCTTATCAAAATTAAATGGGTTGATATTTCAAATGCTTTGACAAGCTTATTTGGACAAAGCTATAGAATTCAAAGCAGAAAATAAAGAAAAGTCTGGAATTTAATGATGATGGTGCTGAAAATTAAGATGTCAGTGTTTTGGTTTGCAAAAGCATTGGTAGGAGTTGTACTGTCTATCTAGCTGCTTTGTCCTTATTAATTTTTAGATTTTCCTAATAGTGTCATTTTGAACTTGTTTTGCTTTTTCAA